CAGAATTTGTGATTTTCGTTCATATTTTTAACTGATGAACAAATTTGCCCCTCTAATCATGTATTTCAGGAAAGAGTCACCTTTGCTGTCCTGGCCCATGTCTTTGTATTTCACATGACCAGTAACATATTCAGAGTCTGGTCTCTTTTAAGAGGAAAAAAGTAAACTTTGAAAACTGCCAGATCAACTTCATACGCTGTGTGTAACCTGTGTTTTTCATTTTTCACTATGTTGTGTTTTATAACCCTCATCAATCAGACAAGCAAATTTTTTATGTTATAAACAGTTATAATTTGGAAAGTGTTGCAGTTTAATTTCTCACATCTGTCAGTCATACTCATTGAAAGCTGTGTATAAGAGAAAACTGCAATAGTACACAGTGCCTATTCTACTGTAGTATATTAGTTGCATGGATCACAGTGCATTCTGTAATGGGCTAGAATTACCTATAGACACAGCTTTTTTAACGATCAGGTAAACCAAACATTAAATTCCTCATGACAAACCTATTTTTCCATTGCTGGCCTTTTCAAGTATTTCAATAAAATAACTGTGTACTGTGTCTGTGTTTGTCTTTTTATTTTTCTTTACCTTCCTGTGCCCCAAAAGGCAGAGTTCACCAAAACTTTGTCCTTTATGTAAATGGATGCTGCCGGTGCCCTCACTTGTTGGAGGTTACGTATCTTGGCAGTGCAGTTTCTCTCATGCTTCCATCAGAAGTTAATTTCTGATTTATATCAGAAGACCAAAGTGCTTTCTATGATACTTTAAAGCTGGAATGCAAATAGTCAACCACGAACTTTCTATTTACTGTTAAGGACAAAGACTGGGAGAAAAGACCAAATAGTGGGGTGTAGGAAGCTGTGGGCAGTGAATTGGTTAATATTTTTGTGCCGATTAAACAGGCTCCAGCAGTGCGGCGTTCCCGGGGAGCAGTGGGGAGTCCCGGGCTGCTCCGGAGGGAATCCCCGGAGGGAATCCCCGAGGGACCCCAGCCCGCCAGGGAGCGGCCGCCAGGGGGCGCTGCCGCCGAGCTCACGGGGCCGCGCTGGGCCCGGGACCGGCGGGAGCGGGAAACGGGCAGGAGGGGCCGTTCCCGTGTGGAACGAGCGGCCCCGGCAGCCCGGCCCGGCGGGAGCGGGTTCTGCCGCCCCCCCGAGCGAAGCGCCCCTGCCCTGAGGCGCTGCCTGCCCGCCCTCACGGCCCGAGGCGACCGGCGCGGGTGAGGAACGGAGCGGATCCCCGCCTTCCCCAGTGGTTTAGGGACAGGAATTTTCTTAGGGAACAGCATACAAGTCTTGCTGTGCAGCTCTGCTGTGGCCTCATCCAGGCGGGTCGTTGGTGTTCCCTGGGGGAGCCCTGGTGCCGCTGGCCAAGCCCTCCTGAATCCTATGAGGATTAGAGTTACCGTGAGGAGAAATTCTTCTTCTCATGGAGCATATAATGAAGAATGTCCAAAAGTTAGCTACTGCAATTAAGTGCTGGGAAGGAGTAGCACCCCAGCCTCAACAGCTCTCAACAGCTATTTGTTTTCTTTCTTCTGGTGCCGTCAGTTTTCTAACAACTTCTTTCACTGTATTTTCCACAACCAGACTCAATTTCTTCCTGCTCAGTCTGATGCATGGATTGCCTGACCATAGTGTAAAGTCACTGAGAGGACAAAGACCTTGATTCATCTTCCTTGGAGACACATCCCTCAGCTTTGACCTCTTGAAAGCTTGTCAGTTCAGGATTAATAGTAAGCAAGACTTGATTTTATGTTGGAAATTAACCTTGAGTTACTAACTGGTCTCCATTTCAAACAAGAATTTTGTTTAAAAATGAACCTGTGTTATGATCCCAGCAGGTGACAGGTAAAAACAAGCAGACGTCTTAAAATACCACAAGGCTGACCTGACAGGAGAGATCCCTTTTAAGACAGCTGCCCCAAAAAAAGGGTTAATGGCAGATTTAATTATTTCCCTAACTATAACCAAAACCACAATTTGAATCAGCTGCAACCAGTAACAGTTATTGTGGCAGAAGAGGGCTGCAGGTGGAAAGACTAGTGCTTTTTCAGTGCTGCATTTGGAACGTTCTAAGTACCACATGGAATATGGAGGGTCATGATGATGGTCTTTCAACACAGAAAGAAGTTAGACTGTATTTTTTCCCACTGTTCATTCAGGAGGGAGAGGACCCATGAGTCAGGGGGAAGCCAGATGGTAGCACATATAGTTAATTCATATTGGTTCTGAAAGGTAAACTTGTGTTGTCCCAGCACAAGGAGTGTGATGCTCAGAGTCCTTTACCACTGTTACCTTTTGGACTTGAGTTTAAGCCCCTGTCTCAAACCATCTGTGGTCCTTAGAGGTTTTTAGCTGTTTTCATGAGTCTGAAGGGGTTAATCTGACAGGTCTGATCCAATCCCAGCTGTGTATGTGCTACCTAATATCCTCCCAAGGTTGTGTTTGTGTGCAGCATTTCGGGGTTTTGATCCAAAATGTTGCATTTTCCTTCAGAAGTTGCCTCCCAAGTCTGGCCAGCTGGCTGAGCTCTGATATGGAAATCAAGCTGAGTAGGTTTCTCCAGATAGTTCCAATTGTCAGAATTGGGAAGTTTTGTAAAAGCCCTTTGGGGCTACTTCGGGTGGAGGAAGGACTGGTGAACAAAGTGTTTAGATTCGACCCAGAGGGCTTAGCTAACAGATGTTGGCTGGGTCCCTACTTTGAGGGGGGGTTATTGCATATTCATGAGCTGACCTTTTGAGCCACTTCCAATGCAGGGAGGACATACATCTACATTTCGTTTGCAGTATTTGGAATAGAAAAGTTGCCTATATGACTGAGTGTGAAAATGGATTGGGGTTTATTATATCAAGTCCTTTCTGTCTGCATTTCTTCTGAAGCCCTTCTTTCTGTCTGCATCTGCTCTGGGGTGGCCCAGAACCCCTACAGTTTATCTAGCAATTACTGGCTTCCAAGGTAGAGTCACCAGTGTACGCAGTGGAGAGAAATGGCATTCTAAATTAAGAGTCTCTCACACACTTGCAAGATGATAATTTGTCTGTAACAAAACTCCTCATTAGAATACTGTTAATTTCCTTTCTGTGACAATTATAGCACAGCATTAGCTCATATGTGCAATGTACAGAGATATTTCCCTGAATAAAAAAACAACCCAAAACCTATCATTACCACTAGTGAAAAACAGTCCTTGGAGGAGAAAAATGAACTTGTAATTTTGCAGCAATTTCTCAGATTAGTAGGAGTTTGGTGTTAAGGTAAGGAGTTTTGAGGGCTCTCCCTGTTGTTGATTGCATTCATGTTAGACTTCACAGTTGGCATTTTCCCACTAGCATCTGGAATCAGAGATGATACAGTCCCCAACTGAGTGGAACCTGTTACCCCTGAAATTCAGCTCATGTATTCTTTCTTTACTCTAAAACTCGCTTCCCTCCTCCCTACAGACATCTTTAAATGACTGCTGTTTCTTTCTGTTGGCATAGCATATTTTTGCTTATCCATCTGTTTTGAAGTTTTGATGAGGTTTAGTTTTTCAATCAAAATGAGATTGTTTGTATAATCACTGTTTAGTGCCTGGAATATTTTGGCAGGAGTGGTGGTGTGTGAGTGAAGTGGGTTAGTGCTTCTCAGAAGTGCTGGATTTGGTATCCTGTTCTTATGCTTCAGGAGAGTAGACTGGACAGGCTCTAGACCAGGCAGAAATGGCTCAAGGAATTGCCTTTAAATATGCAGAAGGTCTGCTCTGTTTCACTGATGTCATTAAGGGGACAGAAGCCCTGCTGTTCATCAGCTGCACTGAAGACCTCAGAAGAGCTTTTATTTTGTTGTCATTTTCTTACCTGAATCCTGAGCTTCAAAAGTTCTCTTCAGGTCCAAGGGCTCTAGTTTTACTTCTCTGCTCTATGCTCTGCTACTGCAGGATGGAAGATCCTGCTCCTTTTCCCGAGGTATTCTAGCTGATTTGTTTTACTTTTTGTTTTTGTGGTTGGTTGATTTTTAAACAGGTTGTAGAGAAAAGAGGGACTTCCAGCTTGGTTCTGTACTCGTGGCTGAGGTGTGTCTGATCTGGTACTGTACCTTTTCATCAAGAAAACATGGCCTGTGGTGCTGGACTCTGCTCTGACTGTGCTCTGTCTGGCTTTTAGCAGAAAGCAGAGGCACTGGCACCGTGTGGATCAGCCTGGCTCTGCTCGCCCTTCCCCCTTGCCAACCTGCTATTTCTGTACTTGATTGGAAGAAGCTAAAACTGCTGGATTTTTGCCGGCAGTCAAGGCATTCCTCAAGTTCCTAATCCAGGCTCCAGATGGTTAAATTGCCCATCCTGACATATAGGAACAAATGATTATGGTAAAAGATGTGAAACCCCACACCAGCCTCTCACGGTGAGACTCTAGGACAGAGAAGTCGCCTGCAGGGAGCCCCGATGAACCGGCACGTCTGGTCACCTGCCCGCGGGCAGCAGGGCAGGGCTAGGGACCGGCCGGGCCCAGCCGCAGGGGCTGCCCGGTCCGGCCACGGCCGAGCCTCCGCGGGTCGCCCCGTGAGAGGCGGTGCCGGCCGCGGACAGGGGCCACCGGTGCTGCTCCCCCCGCCGCCGCCCAGCCTGCACCCTCGGACGTGCCGCAGCTCCGGGCTCTGCCTCCGAGAGCCCCCGGGACTCCCCCCGCGCCGGGAAGGGCGGACCCCCGTCCCCGGGCGATGGCTCGGGGGAGGCGCCGGTCGTGCCCGGGCCGGGGGCACCGCCCGGCCGCAGGGGCGGGAGGCGGGGAGGGGTCACTGCCCCGGCCGGAGCCCGGCCGCCGGGATGCCGCCCGCCGGCGCTGCCCGCGCTAATTGGATGTTCCGTGGATGGAGGATTTCCTCCCCTCCCGGCTGCGGGAGTCATGAAGGCATGCTCGGCTGCGCTTGAAAGTTTGCCAACCAGCAGCTAGGTTTAATTTCTTTAAGGATCTGGGGAGAAGGGGGGCGGGGGCTGGAGGGGGACCGTTTCCAAGCATGGGAGACAGGCTGCCGGAGCCTCACGCCAGCTCTTCCCCTGCTGTGGCTGCCAGCTCGGAGGCGGAAGAAATCGAGGTGCTGGACTCCGAAGATGTCCTACCTATGGCCGCAGAGGATGTAAGTTTCCTTTGCTCGGTATCTTCCCCCCTTTCCCCCGGGCCGGGATAATCGGCTCAAGCTATTCATAGCTGAAGCCCGGGATGGGCACAGGAGCGGGGCCGGTGACCTGCGGGACCAGGGAAAGCCGCCGTCCCCGCCGCCCTCCCGCCGCCCTACGCGCCTCCCGCCGCTGGGTGTCTGCGGGCTCCAGCAGCCGCCGGGCTGGCTCCGTCCTCGGGGCCGCAGCTCCCGTCCTTCCGAGCCCCGGCGGCCCGGACAGGCTCCCGGTTCGCTGGGCGCCCGCGTCCGGTTGGGAGATGCCTGCGGGTGGCGGTTGATCGGGCAGGGGCATCGGACTGGCGCACGGACGCGACTCTGGAGCCTGGAGAGGAGCTGACGCCTTGTCTCGTGGGGCTGCCGGGGGACAGAGAGCTCCTCCAGAGTCACAACCACCCTGAGGGTGACAGATGTGAAACGCTCCCGCTCTCGGGAGCTGCTCCCTCTTCCAGCCCCCGAGCAACAAACCGTCGAGTAAGTTTTCTCCTCGGCTCGACAGGGCTGATGGCTTTTCTCCACCCTCCGAGCTCTGATGGCACGTGAGGGTGGGATAACTTAGCACCGGCTCTCTGCTCACCCAGCCCAGAAGGACGCGAAGGGGTCCTCCGCACTCCAGATCTGCTCCTGCCGTGCTGAGCGGCAGTGCCTGCAGAGCTGAGGCAGTTGTTCTGCATCTGCCGGACCCGGAGGCAGGAGCTCGCCGTGCACCTGTCTGGGAGGGAGTGAACGTGAGAGATCCTGCATTCCTGGTGCATCCCAGGACTGCTCACAGCTCTCATTGCCAGCAAACTCGGCTGGGATGAGGACTGAGAAGTGTCTACTCAGTCTGCAGCGGTAAATGCAGGGTCTGTTCCAGCCTGTCAGACATAAAGCAGAGATACTAAATGTCATTCTGAAGCGGGCTCTGGCTCGGGTCTTGCGCCACTACAAAAGGGACACTTGGGAGCTGAACGTCCAGCAATGGCACATCCCCTCGGCCATCCCCTCTCTCTGCCTTTTGGATACTGCTGGAGGAAGCCGCCCAGACATGCTTAGGACAGAGCCTGTTCTGCACCCCCCAGCCCTTCCTTCTGAATCACCTAGAATTCGGTTGCTGTTGGGCTTTCCTCCCGGAGGGCAGTGGAGGAAGTGCAGTTGCTTGCTAGAGCTGCATTCCCCAGTCGGTGTTCCTGAGCACAGCGCAGTCAGGAGGGAGCGTGTGATGCAGATTGACCTCTGCTACAACACTGCCAGACAGTCCTAAGAGGCGATGCCTGACTCAGGGGTGTGTGTAGTTTTGACTTGGAAAGGGTGGCTTTCCAGGAGCTTTCACAGTCCAGGTTTCCAAATCCCATTGCTTGCTTATGTCAGACTGTGACCTTTTCTTCTCTGACAAATTTTGTGCTTGTTTGGATGGTCCTACAAGAAAGATTTCCTGTTGTGATACACGTGAGCCCCTTGGAGTTGCTCCAGCCTCTACACAAACACAGCCATTAGCAATTCAATCCTGCCAGGGGGCCCAGGAGATGCTGAAATGCTGAGTGCCTGGCAGGATTGGGCTCCTGGGACAGGAGCTGTCCCTGATGAAGTCTAGATTCTCATCCCAGTTCTGCTGCTGCCTTCCTGCTTGACCTTGAGGTAGGACAGCTTGGGTCAGATCCAGCTTGCAGTGTCTTGCTATTACTTGCATTGTTATTTGACTCTGGTACCTTGTTTTCTGTAATCAACAAAACTAAAGCCTGCAGCTGCACTGGTTATGGGAAGCTGCTGAGATCTGGCAATAGATGATGTGACAGAAGCCTGAGGTATCATGTATCATCTGCAAGTCAGAGAAGCAGGAAGTGGTGTAAATGCCCTCCTTCTACCCCGCCAAGATCTCCTGCTGAAACAAGCAGGCTACAGAGCATCATCTCTGGAAATTTCAACTGCTCTGTGCTACTCTGTGCCCCCTGAGACCTTACTGGGGGTTGATTTTGTGTTGTTGCTGTTACATCTGAAAGCCTGATGGAAGCTCTCTGGCTTGGCTAGCAAGAACTGACACAAGGTCAGTTCTTTATGTGTTATTAACCACAAAAATATAACACAGCGGAGGTTCGGCTGTCACAGCCTTGACAGTGTGTAACAGCTCAGCTGTGATGTCATTGTAGCTCTCAGAGCAGCATTCCATAAAGCCAGGGTTCAGACAGTCCCAAAATGTTTAAAGTGCTGGACTGATTTATGATGATAAATGAGAGCTTATAAATGGAGAGAGACATGGGGAGGAAGGGAGCCAAGAACTTAACTAATGAAAAGGAATTCAGTGGCCTGATACCCCACTGTCTCTCCAGTCAATTCTGCTTTAGATTTGCCTACCATGTGAGAAAATGTTCTTCTAGGACTAGATAAGATTCTCACCAGATTTCTGCTTTGCTAATAGCACTGTGAGGAGATTTGCTTATAAGAGTCTGATATTTGTTGTTTTATTCAATTTGTTTCTTTTCTGGGAAGGTGAATGAGGCAAAGAAAACAACAGACCTGGAAATGTGCAAATATTTCTGGGGATCCTAAGCCAGTAGTTACCCCAGTGCTGCCCCATGGAAGTTGCTGTCTTCTCAACTGTCCCCTAAAAACAGGAGAGATGAGAGCCTTAAACAATTCAGTAGCAATTTCCTTTGTTTCATGGGACAGTGAGGCAGCAAGTCTGGGTCAGGGAGGTGACTTGCTATCAGTCTCTGTACAAAGCATAAACCAGAGCTAGTTTCCAGCTTATTTTTTCTGTTTTCAAGTGACAAGGACTTGTGGAGTGTTCACATGGTTGTGAACATTGAAGTGGAGCTTCCTCCTATACAGCATTTTAAAGGCAGATCTGATAGAACAAAAGATGTGGGGTAAATCCTTGCAGTGGGCTCTCTCCAGCCTTCCACCCTCCCACCTAGCACAAGAGGAATTACCTGTTTTTCAGATGTGGACATGTGAGGCTCAGAGAACTGATAGATTATCAAAAGTCTGCAGAAAGCCAGAGTCAGGAGCAGGCAGTAGACAGGGCTCTGATAACCCAGCAAAGTAATTGATGGGTCAGTGTTGGGCCACAGGATCTCAGAAAGTGATCTGGAAAAACATTGCTAATTTATCCCTTCCCTCAATATACACAGAGCTTTTTTGATCTCTGTGAGTAAAAACCCCTTTTTTCGTTGCTTGCCTGCAAATAGACGAAGTGGGAGAAAACAGAATTATCACATGAATATTTTGAGTTCATCCTAATTTGGATTTGTAAATGAAAACTGTTCTCCCTGTGTTTGGTAGATTCCCCTTCCTCCTCCTCCGGAAGGATAGGTGATTCTGGGATGAAGAAGGATGTTGGAAATGGCATTAAATCATTTGGTTATTTCTCTGTTAGAATATACTTCTACAGTTTACTGCATGTTAATGTCGTTGCTCTTATACCTTCTTTTTATTCTTTTTCCTCCCTTATGCTGCCTCTCAGCACTGGAAAGCCCTATTTGATCAGGTATGTGAACAACTGATATATTCTCTCTGTCTTGTGAGCAAAGAGTCTAACCTCTGGTTAATTTCCTCTGTACTGGCTTTCCCCTGCGTTTAAAATACAGCCTAGGAGTAATGTGCTGCATGCTCCCAGTTCCCAGGATGCTGGTGTGCAAGTCATCATTATCATGGCTGCTTTGGGCCTTTCTCTCAGTTCCTCTTCAGAGCAGCCAGGGACAGGACTGAGCCCATCCCTGGTGGCTCAGGGACTGAGCCAAGGTGCTGCAGCAGGTGCTCTGTTTCCTGCCAGTTGTGCTGTCCTTGCTTGTGGATTAAAGGATCTTCTACTCTTTCAGGCAGGCAGACTTAAGACCTGTAAAACCAGCACAGTGTCCTTTGAAATGGCTCCCCAGCTGCTAAACTGACTTTTGCAGGGTTTCATCATCCAGGCAGGACCTGCTGCTTTAAACTTGCACAGGATTAGCAGAGTCTGCATCTGTACCAAAGACTGTGGCTGTGTCAGGTAAATGCCTTGGGTCAGATCTGTAGCTGGCTGAAGTCAGCACAGCTCTGAAGAGCTCTGAACTGTAGCTGCTGAGATTTTGGATTGTGGGTTCTAGTTTGTAAATTACGCTTTTAGCTGCTTTACCTGACATGTTTGCTTTGTGGTATCCCTTCCATCTGCCGGGTTGAAATGTGTAGCAGCTATAAACAGAGGGATTTTTTTAGGGTTGATTTGCTTCTAAACTGCAGCACTCCCTTGATGTCATAAACTTTTGTGCTGTTGTGCGTGCATGTAAATGTCACCTTCTGTGAGGGAGCTTCCTCTGACGCTGGCATCATCCTGGCAATAAAGTTCGGATGGGATTTCATCCCTGCTTTATGAAGCGATAATCTTGCTTCTGTGTCTGGCTGCACTACAAAGCCAAAAGCTGTGATGCAGCCTGCAAAAGGATGTCCTTGGTACTCTGGGGGTCCTGTTATCATTCAGCTATTAACTGGGGCTGCCAGTTCTGATGAGTGCTCGTTTACACATGGTTAGCCGTGACCAACTGCTAATCCACGTGTCGGGACTGCAGCAAGTTGGCTGTGGTACAGTCAGCGGGCAGTTGGGAGGGGTATTATGATTGTTGATCACACCTAAATTGTGTGGTGTGTTTGAATCTGCTGGCTTATACGGGATGCTGCCACTGAAAAGGTGGATGCACAATAAATTGCTTGTGGTCTGGGCTGAATGTTTGTTCCAGCTGCTTTGAATTCTCCTGTCTCCAACACTGGCCCTAATTTGGAGTCTTATTCTACAAGCATCCTTTGAAGTCATTGAGTCCTTGTGGGATGGGGCTGTTGGCTGGTAGCTACCTCAGGCTCAAAGAGAGGAATCTGTAATTTCCCATTGGACTTATTTGAATAGTAGATGGGATTTTTTCCTTCTTTTTTTTTTTTTTTTTCTTTTTGAAGGGAGGGAGTTTGTCTGTTGGATGTACAGAACACTAGCCCAGTAACAATGGAACAGGCTGTAAAGACAGACCTTCAATAATTAGCTGTGTTTCAATTAAGGCTGCAGCTGAATTTTAAACCTTGTCTGTAAGACTTTATTATCAAAGACAATGCAACCTGTGACAACTATACATAAGTCCTGAATAAATCAATAATGTCCTTGTTGCCTGTGGGCAAAGCTGACGTCTTCCTGGAGCATGATATCAGCAAAGCAATGCAATTAGTCCTGCAGTGAATTGCAAGATGCTGTTTGTCATGGAACAAGGTTGCTATTCCCGGCAGCAATGTGCTATGAGGAGAGGGAAGCACTTTGTTTAGCTCTGATTGGCATACATGTGAAACATGAGGACAGTCTTAATAACTAGAGAAAGCCTGTGTGTTGACACTGGAACAGTTGCAGCTCACCCTGGGAGTCAGGAGCTGGCTGGGTGTGTACTTGGAGTGGAAATGGGTGGCCCAGGGTGCACGTGCATTTGTGACTCATGGGCTGGGACTGAGGTTTGAGAGCCACCCTCTCAGGTGAGACACGTGGGCCTCTGCACTCACCAGTCCCAGGAGAGCAAGAGAAGGCTCTGGAGAAAGTGTTAACAGTGGTTGGGAATTTACAGGCTGGTAGTCTGCAAGTGGCTTGTTGCTGTTATACTCCATCATCCCAGAAAACTGTGAAGAAGAGGTCAGTGCACACACACAGAGCCTTTGAGAGGGGAATGGAATTATTATTAATGCTTGGTTGTTTGGGTTCTTTCTCTCTGAGGAAGTATTTTTAAAGCTTTCATTTAAGTTTACTGACCAAAAAAAGCAGCAAGTTTTCTGTTTAGACATACAAAATTTAAGGGATTTGGGTTTTTTTTATGATCTCCCCCTCCCCAGCTTAAATTAAAAATTCAAAACTTCTTGATGGAAAAATTGCTGCTCAGCCATAAAGCAGTGCTTTTTGCTTGGTTATTTTAGGAGACAGGAGTGACTGACCATGTTTTCTGTAGGAATTTATTATTTGTTTTGATCCAGCTCTAATCTGTCACACCAGGAACTGTCAGTGACTCAAGCCAAGATCTTCAGCAACTTGCAGATTCATTTATTTAAGAAGTAAAGGAACTTAAATTTGACAAAAACTCAGACCCAGAACTGCTTCCTATGCTTTGAGGTTCAAAGAAGCCCCTCCCGGGACAAAATCCTGACTACACTGAAGCAAGTACCAAAATTCCTCCTGGATTTAGTGAGGTCAGCACTTCACCCAAGAGTTTGGGAACAGGCAGACTCACAGCTCTTCAGTGCTGCAGCCAGACAGTTACAGTTCAGCTGCTGCCTCATACTGTGCTTCCAAGATGTGGTTTTTATTACAAGGCCATGGCCCTCGGGCAGCTCTAACTCACTTTTATATGGGAACTTTTATAGGGATTCATACATTTATTTATTGTGCTCATAAACACCCTCCACCCCCACACACACATTAGCTCTGCATCTGCTGCCTTCTGCAGAGCCTGCACCATCGCTGCGTGCTCTGTGCTGTCTCTGCAAAGAAACTGAGCTCTGAGCAGAGCAAGCTCTCTCCATCCCTCTGCAATCACTTGGGGTTTTCTTCATTTGTTCTTCAGGGGCCAAAGCCCCATTTTTTTGTTAATCTTCTGGTAAAGTTGAAAATGCGACAATCCCAGGAGCAGCTGCTGACAGTTTGGTGCTTCTCTGTGTTAATAAGATTCGTTAATTGCCTTGCACTCAGACATGAGAACATCTCCCAGTCCTTGCTGAAACCAGGTTGCCTGATGGTTGGAGAGTGAGTCAGCAGACGAGTGTCCTGAGGGGCTGTTCCTGCTTTGCTATGTCCTCTCTAGGGCCTCAGGTGCAGTTCTTTGCCACCATGTCCCCAGTGTCCCTGCTTTGGCAATGACTGCAGCTGGTGGGTGTTATCCAGCCCTTGGCTGGGCTGGGTGAAGGGCACTATCGAGGACAACAGTGTTTGTTCTTGGGACAGACCTGCCTTCTGAAGGTGGCTTTTAACCCTGTTAGATGCTAAGAGATTTTATCATCTTCTCTGTTTCCCCATCCCCATTGCTGTTGAGATTTTGAGGGTGAATTAGCATTATCAGCCCTCATCTTGGAGTTCTCACTTCTTCTCACCCATACCCTGCTTTGTAGTCATGACAACAAACTTGTTTTAAATAGACACATAAAAAACTCTCCAAAAAGACCCTCCTTACTGCCTCAACACCTTGATCCTATTGCTTGTCAATCCAGGCTGTGTTTTTGTTGCAGCTGCTTTAGAAATCCTAGATTCTTCCCTGAGACTTGTACGTGGGTGTGATGGCAACAGATGAACAGAGTTTATGGGGAATGCAGAGAGATGCCAAGTTACCCAGTCTATGTAGGCAGCTAATGGAAAACTTGAGCTCAGAAACAAGGCTGTAGAGATAGACATGCACTTGCCAGGAAGAATTCAGTTGCTGACACTACCAGCAGTGGGTGCAGCTGAACCTGCTCCGCCATGGTCTCATAAAACATTAAAATACGCTTTAAAAGATGCTGACTTTGCAGCTGCCTTAAATCCAGGGCTGGTTCCTGCACAATTGAAATTGGAGAGCCATCCATAAAATTGGGGCAGCTATTATCATAGTTGGTGGTAACTGGGGAAGGGAATTATTTTGAACTTAATGATCTTTTATGTTAACTGTCCCTTTTCTCTGGGTAGCCTTTAGTGCAGGCAGGCAGAGCTACTTCCCACACTGTAAAAGAAATTCCAGTTTATTTACTGGGGCACTGTTGAGCTAAACATGACCCTTCACTTTGAAATGCTTCCCTGCCTATTGTTGCTGGCAAACCCCTGCCAGCTGTGGCTGCAAGACCTCTCCAGGCAGGTCTCACTGAGCTGTAGGCAGTGGTTTGTGCCTTGAGATTTCACCTCTTTTTTCTAACAAACAACTGTAATATAAAGAATAGGAAATTATGGCAGTGATAGCACCAGTATAGCCAGGGGGGTTGAGCCCAAGGGTGTGTGTAGCCTTCAAGTCCTTGCCTGATTTTTGGACTATTGCTGCCTTTTTAGTATTCATTGGGACACCTGTCCACATTTAAAAGGAGTGGTGCTGCATATAGGAGGCTATGGAAACTGCGATTAGGAAATAGTCATCAACTTGTTACTTCATGTGCTAAGGTGATTGGGGAATCAGAGGTGCTGGTGGGAAGACTGTCCATGGTGATAAGAGATTAGCATCCAGGCCCCAAACCAGCATTTGCCTCATCTGCCATATCAGAGTGCTTCATCTCAGTGCTTCTGAGAATGTAACAGGAAATGTGTCCCCTTCTCCCTCTCTGCCAAGCTGTGTATTGTAAAGGGGAGAGACATTTTAAAATCTACAAGGGTCTCTTTACAATGCACAGAGGGGGTTCTGCATCTGCCCCACGCCTTGAAGTTTAATCTCATTTACAGTTGTCAGCGTGGGCTGCTGGAGGAGATGAAAGGCAGAGGACAAGGAGGGAGAATAGATTAGTCTCGAGCAGAGGGCACTGGGAGTGCACCTGCCTCTGCCCCGC